CTGGCTGAATGTCTGACCGAGGCGAGAACACTGTATGTTAACTAACTTGAATTAAAAAAAAAAAAAAAAAAAGATTGGGTATCCAGGTGGAGCAAGGTGGCAATGAATTTCAGATCCCACTGCCTTCCTCACTGCCCCTCAGCAAACCATGTGTATTCCTGACCCTGAACTTTGCTCCCCTGTTTACTCAGAGCCTTTCTCTCTCTCATCCAGGCCAGACGTCTGCTTTGTCTGGTTTCTTTTCACCAGTATCACAGCCCATGCTGGTGGTGCTCTGTTCAGAATTCCCCCTACGGTCAAAATCTCTGTTTCACACAGGATTGTTCTGTAATTCTTTCACAGGTGTGTTTTGTTACTCCCAGACAGACTGTAAGTTCCTGAAGAACAGTAACCACGCTTTATATTTCTTTTATTGACTTCCCGGAGCTGTGGGTCCAGGGCAGATGTTTTGTGTGGCTCCTTAATCAGCTGAGATGTCCCTACCATATGTCATACTGTATGTAGCCCTTTGAAATTTACGAAGTCCGTGCTGTTAAGCAGACAGTTAAATGAATACTGGAAGAAATACAATATGATCCCAGTGTTGCTGTGTGTGTGTGTGCGTGTGCGTACGTGAGTGTGTGTGTGTGTCTGTTACAAAGACACAAAAGACCAGAGAGAATGTAGCAAAATCTCCATGGTATTATTTATCTCTGGATAGTAAGATTTGTCTGTAGTCCTTATTATTTATGCTCGTCAGCAATTTTGTAAACTATTTGTAAAGAATATTTTTAACATCTGGGAGGTAGATCTAGTATTAGGAATGAATGAGGTGATGAAATTGATAAGTCATGATTATTATTAGCCTAAGAAGCCCAGTACTGTGAAATGGAAAGTTGGCAATGAATTCGGCTTGGATGCCTAGGACTCCTTGTGGGTCTGTTCCATTGTTTCCCAAAGTGTGTTCCAAGGGACACTGTTCCTTCCAGAGGTGTTACATGTAAATCATATAGGAAACACACACTCTGTAGCTGTGGAAATTCACAATGTCCGTCAGCCCTGAATATTCCTTAAGCAAAGGAACCTGGCTCTGATCTGTCTACCTAGTATTCCCCAAACTTTTCTGATCATGGAATCCTTTTTTTCCTTATAATGCCTATTGGGACACATTGTTCCATCTTATTTTTAAAGAACGGCATAGATTTTAGTTTTGAATGTCTTTATGTTGCCTATCTATTTTTTTTAAGATTTTATTTTATTGTAAGTAATCTCTACACCTAATGTGGGGCTCGAACTCACAACCCTGAGATCAAGAGCTCTTTACCAGCTTGTGTATTCTTAATATTCCCTTGGTTAAATGATCCAAAAGGCTAAGTATGACTTCTCATGTGGCTCCTGGGTGTCTCAGTTGGTTAAGCATCCGACTTCGGCTCAGGTCATGATGTCACGGTTTGTGGGTTCCAGCCCTGCACTAGGCTCTGTGCTGACAGCTCAGAGCCTAGAGCCTGCTTTGGATTCTGTGTCTCTCTCTCCTCTCCCTCACCCAGCTTGAGCTCTGTCTCTCTGTCTCTCTCAAAAGTAAATAAACTTAAAAAAACCTTATAAATTCATCAGAACAGCAAACAGCATCTGTCACCGCGTAATTCTTTAAGAGTTTTTGTTTAATGTTTATTTATTTTTGAGAGGGAGAGAACGAGCAAGGGGGGGAGGGACAGAGAGAGAGAGACAGGGGATCTGAAGCGGGCTCGGCACTGACAGCAGAGAGCCCAATGTGGGGCTCAAACTCATGAACCACAAGATCATAACCTGAGAGACTGAAGTCAGATGCTCAACCAACTGAGCCACCCAGGCGCCCCTAATTCTTTAAGTTTTGAAACTGTATTCACCACAAGGGACTCGATTAAAAAAAAAAATACCATCAACGCATGAATGGATGAAGAAGATGTGGTTCATCTATACAATGGAATACTACATGGCAATGAGAAAGAATGAAATCTGGCCATGTGTTGCAACGTGGATGGAACTTGAGGGTTCCAGCATCCAGAACTTATGCTGAGCAAAATAAGTCAGGCAGAGAAGGACAGATACCATATGTTTGCACGTATAGGAGGATTAGGAGGAACTTAACAGAGGACCGTGGGGGAGAAGAAGGGGGAAAATAGTGGGGGAGAGGGAGGGAGGCAAACCATGAGAGACTCTTGAATGCTGAGAACAAACTGAGGGCTCATGGGGGTGGGGGAGGGGAAGGAGGGTGATGGGAAGGGGGGTGATGGGCATGGAGGAAGGCACTTGTTGGGATGAGCCCTGGTGTTATATGTGAACCAACTTGACAATAAACTATTTAAGAAAAATAAAATAAAAATTTTTTATCTTTTTTATTTATATTTATCTTAAAAAAATAAATAATAAAACTAAAAAAATTTAAAAAAAAATACCAAGCCGCAAGCCTGCATTTGCTCCGTCTCCTCCAGAGTCCATCTTCAATAGGAAGTTAGTCGTACGAAATCCGTGGACTTTTTCTTTCGCCTCCCTAGTTGTCTTTTCCGTGAGTTTTTGACAGCGGTAGCAATGGCTGAGAAATCACTCCCAACACTGCTTGGAAAGTATCCCCATTAATGAAAGCTTACAGGGTTGGCCCTGCATGTCAGGTAATCGGTGTATAAAATGGAAATACGCGTGCTTCTCTCTGAAATTCCATTTCCCTGCAGTTGCGGGGATTCACTGGGAACAAAGCCAAGCCATACTGGTGGGAGGGCATAGCCCACAGGACGGGAACCTGCTTGCTTTCGCCCTTCTGTGTGTCTCCCTGCCCTCCAGCCCATGACAGAGACTTGCCACTTGCTGGAAGCTCAGAGGGTGATTAAGCATTTGATTTTCCACAGGCTTTCTCATTAGCATATACACTCGCAGGAAAAGTAAGAGGAAGAGGGAAATGAAACATTAACAAAGCAGATGAGGAAGCACAATACAGATGGTGGCGAGCAGGCGTTGAGCTAGTAAAGGACCTGATCCCTCACGTGAGTAGCCACGTTAAGACCTTGGGCTAAAACAGATACAACCGGGGCTGACAGTTCATAACAGGATTAGCCAACACCTGCGGAATAGGCCACTTTCGGCAGGATTCTTGCCTCATCCAATTGTTGTTTTATTTTTATTTATTTATTTATTTATTTATTTATTTTTTAAATGTGTTTTATTTATTTCTAGGAGAGAGAGAGAGACAGCGCGAGCAGGGGAGGGTCAGAGAGAGAGGGAGCCACAGACTGAAGCAGGCTCCAGGCTCCGAGCTGGCAGTCAGCACAGAGCCCGACGCGGGGCTTGAACCCACTAACCGCGAGATCATGACCTGAGCGAAAGTCGGACGCTCAACCGACTAAGCCACCCAGGCGCCCCTATTTTTATTTATTTTTTAATTTTTTAATGTTTATTTTTGAGAAGGAGAGAGAGGCAGATTGCGAGCAGGGGAGGGGCAGAGAGAGAGGGAGACACAGAATCTGAAGCAGGCTCCAGACTCCGAGACCCGTCAGCACAGAACCCGACGCGGGGCTCGAACCCACGAACTGTGAGATCATGACCTGAGCCGAAGTCGGATGCTTAACTAACTGAGCCACCCAGGCGCCCCAACAATTATTCTGTTCTAGAGAGTATCATCAACGGAACTCAGTTCACTGTCATGAAAGCCATTTAAATCACCACTGTGTTTAAACAAAACACAGAGTGCGCGTTTGGCCCCAGGAGATTTTGCACCGTCTCCTGCACCCCTGTGGCAGACATGGCCTTTTAGCACGGGGCGCCCCCATCCAGCTAAGTGCCAGGCTGACCTGCGGAAAGGCAAGTGAGCTGGAAATTTGCATCTGTCCGTGGTTACACCCTACGCACGTTACGGCTCTGTTTAAATTTCCAGCTGACCTGCACGCACACAATCATGAATGAAAACCAAACAGTGGAAAATAACGTCTTTTTTTTTTTTTTTAACCTCCTCATGGTCTGTGGGAACGACTCTGGCCCCAGAGTCAGGCTTTGGGCTGCAGGCCGGCTCCCAGAAGTCACATGGCTTTGAACGGAGTGTCTGAGGCCTCAGCCGGCCTCGGCTGCCAGGGGCTGTGGTTTTTAAGTAACACTTGGGAGTGGGACTGGAGGCCGCCGCGGGAAGACAAGGCGCATAAAGAGATGACAGGGGAAGAGTCTATTTTTGCTATACGTGCAAAATAAGATGAGCTTCTCTGCGTTCGTGCGTTTAACGGGCAGAAGGGGTTGGTGTCAGTGGACTGAGAGCTTTTAGAGGTCGGGGCCTGTGCCCTTCTCAGGCAGGACTCTCCCCCCCCTCCCCCCCGCATGTCCAGTGCCCCTTAGCACAGCGGGGCGCGTGTGCGGACACACACTGGAGTGAAAATATTTCCGCCTCTGTGTGTGTGCTGGAGGCGTGTTTACCAAATACACTCTGCATGCAGACCACCTGTTGAAAGGCAGATTCTTTTTTTATGTATAATATAATTTATTGTCAAGTTAGCTAACATACAGTGTATACAGCGTGCTCTTGGTTTTGGGGGTGGATTGCCGTGATTCATCGCTTAGTATAACACCCAGTGCCCGTCACCCATTTTCCCCTCTCCTCTGCCCTCCCCTACCCCACCATCACCCCTCAGTTTATTCTCCGTATTTAAGAGTCTCTTACAGTTTGTTGAAAGGCAGAGCCTGATTCTGAGCTTCTGGAGTGGGGCCTGAGAGTCTCCCGTTTCCACCAAGCTGGGACGGGGAGGGGGAGGGGCGCTGATGCTCCTAGCCCCCCCTCCACCACGCTTTGAGGGTCAACATCCTGGAGGGTAACTAGACCCAGCGAAAATGTCTTCTGCTTAAGTTTTGTTTCAGACAGCTGCCACCACCCCTCAGCCCCTCCCTGGAGTGGGGGGGGGGGGGGCTTGACGGTGGCAAGTGGGGTTCCACCCACGCCTTGGTTTCGGGGCGGCGAGGTGGAGGCATGGTGGCCCCCAGGTAACCAGCCCCTTCTCTTCTTCCTCCAGGGGAGGAGCGCCCCCGGGACTCCCCGGGCCCGGCGGAGGCCCAGGCGCCGGCTGGGGCGGAGGCCGGCGGGAGAGGCAGCCACCCCTGCTGGAAGTGCTCCCGGGCGCAGCTCAAGAAGATCTTCTGGGGCGTGGCGGTGGTGCTGTGCGTGTGCTCCTCGTGGGCGGGCTCCACGCAGCTCGCCAAGCTGACCTTTCGGAAGTTCGACGCACCCTTCACCCTGACATGGTTTGCCACCAACTGGAACTTTCTGTTCTTCCCGCTCTACTACATGGGGCACATCTGCAAGTCCACGGAGAAGCAGTCTGTGAAGCAGAGATACAGGTAGGCACCTCCCCAGGGTCAGGCCCCGCCCCCTGGGCCATTCTGCTGAGTGTGCTGGCCCTGAGAGGCCACGGTGCCACCTGCCGTCTGGGGGGTGGAGGGCGAGGATCAGAATTCTCTCTCCTCGGGGTGGTGAGCACCTGCTTCCTGTGGCTTCGGCCCTAAGGGCTCCTTTATGTGAAACAAAAGGCAGCATCTTTTAGAGACAGCCTGTAGTCAGACCCCAGAAAGGGGGGGACCAGACAGGTCTGTAGTTTCACCTCCGCTCCTCAGGCTAAGGTGAGCAAGCGGGAGACCCTGGCGCCAGGTGACACCACGGCTTCCTGTAGCTTCCCGTCCCCCATGGAGCCCGGCACTGCAGAGACTCGATGGCGCATCCTCTCTCTAGCCTGAGACAGTCCTTTTCTGTTGTGTGATTGCTGGGGCTTGAGAGCGGGGCTCTCAGAATCAGAGCTGAGTCTCAACTTTGTTGACTTGACATTCTCACGTGGAGTCTGCTGGTGTGACCTTCCTTTCCCGAAGAAGCCAGAAACCCTGACAAACCTTGCATCTCAATATACAGCAGGGTCCTCCCGCCCCACCCCCACCTTCCTTAGATGTCTCGTTGTTGGCATTGACCCTGAGCCCTCATCCTGTGCCGGTCGCTGGATCTCCCGGCTGCCCTAATTGGAGGCCCTCTGTGGGCTGAGTCAGGCACTTCCTGCTGGCCCAAATCAGATCTACTCAGGAAAACAAAAAATAGGCAAGAATGCTGGCCAAGGGGGCCAGGTGGGTGGGCCCTGGGCACTGAAAGCTGAAGAGTCTTCACTCCTTTACCCTCTGCCTTCTTTCTCATCTCACCCCCACCCTACTGAACACATGCCCCATAAAACGGCCGTGTCCCATGTACCATCTGCTCTGAGCTTCAACCCTGTTTTGAAGCTGCCATTAGAAATCACAAGATAACTCAAAACATCATGGGTCCAAGGAGTAACAAGTTTAGAGAATGGAGGTCTAGACTCAGAATCTTTCTGCAGGAATCTACCTACCATTAATGAATGCCACTGTAAAGGTACAGGTGGATGTGTGAGGTGCCTGGCTTTTTTACCGTTCAGACAGACAGAATCTGGACTGGAAGACCAAACTATAAATCAGACCACTGATTCCAGAAGAAGGGGCTCTGGTGGAGCATAGACTGAGTCACAAGGCCGGCCTCACACATCCCTCTTAGGGGCAAGGATTCAGAGCAAATTCCGTAGACAAGGCCCATAGGAGGAAGGAGACTGAAGCCTGGGACGGGGGCCCAGGCCTGGGGCATTCTCAGCATTTAATTAAACCAGCGGCCCATGGGCCAGCCAGAAATTGCCGAAGAGGGACTTCACACACCTCTCCTGAAGAGCAGCTGAACGCAGACTGAAACAGATCGGTCTAGAAGCTTCATTAGGACCCAAGATTGTCCCCAAGGCAACAGAAAAATAACAGTCTGCTTTTGGTCACAGACAAGAACAGATAGATACTCAGTAAATGATGTATTTAACAATCATGTGGCTCAAAACAGAGTTTGTGAGGAAGAGTTTGCCTTTCTTGAAACTGACTAGACGACGAAGCTCCTCTCAACAAAGAGAAATGAAATTATGTGTCCTTTCTTGGGAGAGAATCACTGGCAGAGAAGATGACTTGTTTCTCCCTGCTCCCTTCACCCCTGCGTGCTATAACGGGGCCTCCCCTGAGGTCAGCCCTGGCAGCTGCCTGACACACGTGTCCTCACACGACCATCACTCGCCTCGGGACAAGACGGGCACTGCCGGCCATCCCGGGCAGGCCTCGCACCACCTAACCAATTGCTGAGAACAGCTCAGAAGGAACCAAGCTCAGTGGGGGTTCAAAAGCCCAGGTAGGGAGAACGAGAGGTCACTGGAGTAGATTAGCTAAACACAGACATCCGCCAACACCTACTTCAGCTCATGGTCTTTGTGCAGAACATGTCTGGAGAATCACATCTTCCTGCAGAGTCATGAAAAGGTTTGTGGAGGCTGAGCGAACCGGAGAGTGGTAAAGAGCAGGGCCAATAATCACAACGTGGTCAGGGAAGCCAGCTAAAACCTTGCCCAGGCTCTGTGATACATCTTATGTCCGCCTCTTTAAAAGAAAATCTTCCTAAACGTCTTTTTCAAAATCAGCTCTAAGCAGAGCTGCCCACTTACTAACCAGTTGACTAGGTAGCTTAGTCAGGCCATGCACACCACTCAAGGGGCAAGGGATGATTCTTTCTCAGTAAAAGGGAGAGAAAAAGTTTAACATCACAGACTTCACTTAGGAGATCATGACTCTGTCACACTCAAATTGAGAGTTCTCTAAACAGACTTCGGGATTGCCAGGAATCAAGGAAGACTGAACTCACATCTCCCCTTTTGGTGCTTTTATCAGAATTAGTGCCAGAGGGAAGGATCTAGAATCAGTGGAGGAGATGGGTCTCTGGCCCAAGGTGCTTGGGCAGGAAGCTGGGGAGAGGTGTCACAGAGAGGGAAGCAGTTAAGCTAGCTCTTGTGGCTATCAGGAAGCAATCAGATGGAAGTCTCTTTTCCCCAAGCCCTCCCCACCTGGGCTGTGTTCCCAGCGTGAAGCTAGAAAAGTCAGCCAAAGCAGAGAGGAGAGCATACATTGCCTACTGCACAGCCCCTGAAACCCACCATGTCCGCCTGGGATCTTGCCGATTGAGTAGTTCTGGGTGGATCTGAGATTTTGCTTTCCTAACGCATTTCCAGGGGTGCTGGTGCTGTTAGCCAAGGGCCGTGCTTCGACTGAAACGGCCCTGGAGTTGTGAGTCTTACTTACAAGGTTTTAAATGCAGCTAATCTGACCAGCTGTAGGAACGAGGATTCACCATACCACGTAGAATGGATGAGTGACTCACTTCGGGCCCGGGGATGTTTGAGCCCCGTTCCTGTGCCACTTTCGAGAGAGGAGAGGCTCCATGGGCAATCATTTAAGCTGTGGGAGCCTCAGATGCTCATTTGTAAATGAAAGGTGATGACACATGTACTGTCTTACACACAAGATTGTTGTGTGATCAGCAGAGCAACATCCACACAAGCTCCCTAGAAACCGTGAGTTGCTGTTAAAAGGTGTGCAGCTGTCACCGTACCGTGCAGGCTTCTCCTGGGTTCTGTTGTCAGGGATTAAGAGAATAGGTGCGAAAAACTCCGGCCCAGCTGAACTGGGTTTCATGCCTCTGGTCCCCCGTTTCTTGCTGACAGCGGGCCATGGGGACGCACCAAGGAAATCGTGGTGCCTGGGACCCAGGGCGGGCACATGGAGACGTGTGTGGGCGCCGCAGAAACTGCAGACACAACTGGAAGTGGGGGTTCCTGTGAGTCTCCTACACAGCTGGGCACCGGAGGGGGGAGGCTGCCTCAGGTCCCTGCCCTGAAGAGGGATGGCTTTCTAGATCAGGACAACAGCTTCTCAAATCCCAGGGCTCACCACGGGGAGCGGAAATCAGCCAGAGCAGATCTGGGGCTCCTGCGCTCTGGTCAGAAAGGCTTCTAGGAATTTCTTCCAGTAGTGACCTGTTTTCATAAGCAAATGCTAGAACCTTCTGCTATCGTGCAGCTGCCAAAAAAGGGAACGATACAGTGGTGACAGATGTTTTGCTCTGCCTTTTGTCGCTTTAGGCTTCTAGAAGCTAGCCAACAGATTCTGTTTCAGAAACAGGGAGAAAGGTTCTGAGCCAAGGGGCAAAGGCAGTTCTGATACCTTTCATCTTATATCTTACCAGGGCCCAGTGTGTACGGAGTTACATGGACTTAATGCAGGAGCCAGCTGTGTGTGTGTGTGTGTGTGTGTGTGTGTGGTCCTGTACAACTGTGTTATTCAAGGTCAAAGGAGCAACTTGGGGCAATTGCAATCCAGAGGTTTATTCGTTCTGAAAATGGCATTGCTGTCTTCTCCGGGCGAGACACTAGGGACACAATGATCAACGGTCCGTCTCCTCAAAGGGCACCTGGTGTGGGAGTCACATGGGCAAGCAAGGTGGGGATGTGTGCGCAGGGGAGCCCAGGGGAGAGGCCAAGAGTGTGGGTCCTGGGGCAGGATGGGAAGGTTTCTTAGAGTAGATGCCGAAGGAACAGCCTCTTTAAAGCCAAAGCAGAAGGAGCTTGGGGCACCCTGGGCAGGCAGAGTAGCGCAGGGAAACACAGAGGGTACACGAAGAGCAGGGCATGTGAGGGGCTCTGGCTTGGCCGTGGGAGGTAAGCTAGACAGGAGCAGCCCCTGGTGATCCTCCCACACCTCGCACAGAGGTTTGAAATCTCACATGGATACTGGGGGGAGCCAAGGAAGGGTTCTAGGTAGGGCAGCGGAGCCATCACATTGGATCTAGGAATATCACCACCTCCATCAGACTAAATCTAGAAATATCACCACTGACATCAGGCTGGATCTAGAAACACCACCACCACCATCAGGCTGGATCTGGAAGGACCACCACCACCATCAGGCTGGATCTAGATGTACCACTACCACCATCAGACTGGATCTAGAAATACCACCACTGCCATCAGACTGGATCTACAAATACCACCACTGCCATCAGAATGGATCTGGAAATACCACCACCATTATCAGGCTGTTTCTAGATGTACCACCACCACCATCAGACTGGATCTGATGATCCAGTAGATGATCTACCGCCATCGGGCTAAATCTAGAAACACCACCACCACTATCAGACCGGATCTAGAAATATCACCACTGCCATCAGACTAGATCTGGAAACAACACCACTGCCATCAGGCTGGATCTATAAGGTCCACCACCACTACCAGGCTGGATCTAGATGTACCACCACTGCCATCAGGCTAAATCTGGAAGGATCACCACCACCATCAGGCTGAATACAGAAATACCACCACTGCCATCAGGCTGGATCTAAAAATACTACCATTGTCATCAGACTGGACCTGGAAGCACCACCACCACCAGGCTGGATCTAGAAACACCACCACCACCGAACACTGGTT